TTTTTTTTTTTTTTTTCTTTTTGAAAACAATCTATACGATTTACGAAAAGTTATCAAGTACTGGAGCTAATATGGAGATTCAATTACTGGGGTCCTTAGGGTGGGTTATTAAGAGGTATTAATTTGAGTAATAAATTTTAAGATGGGGCTTTTAAAATCAAAAATAAGAAAAAGGCTTGGGGGCTCAAGATGAAGCCACGTGTAACAGGAAGGCTGGGGTCCAGGGGTCTGTTTGATGGAGGGGTAAATTGTTTTAAATGGATAACGGTAGGGGTAAAAAGTGTCGAATAGTATGACGAAGGATACCTATAACTAATATTCGATAGCAGAGGAAGCCCTTTTCTGTTTCTTATTTGGATATCAAAAAAATTGAGACCAAGAGAATATATAAAATGAATTGACAAGCTCCTTATCCATATACCAAATCACAACATCATTTCACATACAACTCTATATAAAAATATTAATTGTAAATTGACTCTTAACATGAACTGCTTGCTTTTTCATACCAACAATGACCGAATATCTGAGATTGACTCGGATAAAGGGATAGAAACAAAAATAATCAAAAGGAAATACAAATGAGAAGCATATTATATGCAATCAATAGACGCGGTGCTGCTCTCAAAATGAAAGTTTGTATATTTCTTCTGTTTCTCTTTCTCGGAATGCTGTATTTAGAAGCATTTTCTGTGAACAATTGAAGGTCCAGATTCATCATACTCTGCCTTAGCGATCCACATCTGTAATTGGGGGAAAAATCCATAAGTAAATTATCATGCGCCGCCTTGACAAATGTTCATCACATTCAGTTTAAAGAACTAAGCATTTAGCATAAACTACTGCTCAGCATTTGTTCTCAGATAACTGGCATTTTTTCTCTAAATTAATATTGACAATGGTGTGATGAGATAGTGGATAAGCCTTTAAGATTTGCAAATATGAAATGAAGCAGACTGCAAAAGGTAAAGAGATCCTGATTTTGCATACCTGCTGGAATGTGCTGAGAGAGGCCAAAATAGATCCTCCAATCCAAACACTGTACTTCCTCTCAGGTGGGGCGACAACCTTGATCTTCATGCTACTTGGAGCTAATGCTGTAATTTCCTTGCTCATCCTATCAGCAATGCCCGGGAACATTGTGGTACCACCGCTAAGGACAATATTTCCATACAGATCCTTCCTGATATCAACGTCACACTTCATAATGGAATTGTATGTGGTTTCGTGAATTCCAGCAGCTTCCATTCCGATCATTGATGGTTGGAACAGAACTTCTGGGCAGCGGAATCTCTCAGCGCCAATGGTGATAACTTGTCCATCAGGCAGCTCGTAGCTCTTCTCCACGGATGAGCTGGTCTTTGCTGTTTCAAGTTCTTGTTCATAGTCAAGAGCAATGTAAGCCAACTTCTCCTTCACATCCCTAACAATTTCCCGCTCGGCCGTGGTGGTGAATGAGTAGCCTCGTTCTGTGAGAATCTTCATGAGGTGATCTGTGAGATCACGCCCTGCCAGATCAAGACGCAGGATTGCGTGTGGGAGGGCATAACCTTCGTAGATGGGAACTGTGTGGCTGACACCATCACCAGAGTCCAGCACAATTCCTGGCATCAAAACGCACAGGATTCAACATAATGTTTGGGCCAAAAAATCATTCTCAAACTTCATAACAAGAGATGGATTCAAGCACTACATACACATACTTAAAAGTGGTTGACTGAAGACAAAGCTTACCAGTTGTACGTCCACTGGCATAGAGGGAAAGAACAGCCTGAATGGCGACATACATAGCAGGGGCGTTGAAGGTTTCAAACATGATCTGAGTCATCTTTTCTCGATTGGCCTTTGGATTAAGAGGAGCTTCTGTGAGGAGAACAGGGTGTTCTTCTGGAGCCACACGAAGTTCATTGTAGAAGGTGTGATGCCAGATTTTTTCCATATCATCCCAATTGCTAACGATTCCGTGTTCAATTGGATACTTCAAAGTCAAAATACCCCTTTTGGATTGAGCCTCATCACCAACATAAGCATCCTTCTGGCCCATGCCAACCATCACACCAGTGTGACGAGGGCGTCCCACAATGCTAGGGAACACAGCCCTTGGAGCATCATCTCCGGCAAATCCAGCCTAACAATTTTAGGACACAATTAACAGTCAGCGTTTCAGATCAAATAAGGATAATGTTGTCTTTAATGTCACCAAAACATTCAGTAGAGACGAGTGAAACATTGTAATTACCTTAACCATTCCAGTTCCATTATCACAGACAAGAGGCTGAATTTCCTCACCTTCTGCCATCTTTTACTCTCTGGAAATAAAAAAGACTATATTTATGCTAATAAACTGAAAACATATAAGGATCTCATACAATATAGAAGATCAAACACCACAATAAGTGAAAAAGGAAATCCTAATATATAGAACAATAGCATCAAAATATGTTTAACTTCTTTTATCTCTACTGGTTCTGAATCTATTATTCCTAAAATACTCAAACAGGTATTGCATTAAATCATATGATATGAATCTATTCAGTCTAATTGCACAAATCCTGTGGCTAAATAAGCAAATCAAATTCACATGCATAAAAGCTTAACGCTTATAGCTGAGATTATGAAATGCTTTAAAGACAACCTCATATTATCACTTTATATGATCTCGGATACCTGCACGTATATTTTGAAAAACCAATGAAATGGGCACATATGAAACATAGATCAGACTCTGTCCATCAATTCTTGGCATTTTCCTTTTTGATGTGAAAATAATTTCATTGAATATAAAGACCAACAGAACTGCCATTGAGGTGCATGCCTAATCAATTGTATATCTTTGAATAACCAGCCACGGGTACAATTCTCAAAGACTAGATTGTTTTCCCCTAATACACAGCCAGATATGGAGAAGATGGAAGAACAGATATAAGGAATTAGATCCACAAAATGAAAGGAAAAGAAAAATCAAACCAAAAAGTAATGTAAATAAAATTAGATCAAGCTTTTGACATTTCACTCAAATGGAGGAACCCATTTGCAGATCCAAAAGTCTTCAACAGTAAAAGTTTAATCAAAATCCAGCAAAGGGTGAATCCAGGATTTG